AAAAGGTCAGGGATGCTCGTCGCAAAATTTGAATTTTACTCCGAAAGGAGACTAATATGGGAGTTTCTCGAGCTTCATTAGACCCCTCAAAGATACCACTTAAGAGTGTGTCCATGGAAAAACCAGGCAGAACCAGGCAAGAGGTGATGCTGCGCAAATCACCGATTTTGCTCAAACTTGGCACAAATGTTGGGTTTGGTGAGTAAATGATTATGGCAAAAACTTAGGTCAAAATATTTCATTCCCTTCAAGTTAGGGAGACCCCCTCCAAAAATGGCCGTTTGTCACTAATTTACGCATATTTAATTAGCTGTCTTTAATTTAGTATTTCTACAACAAGGAAGGCCGTGTGAAAATGAAATCCACTGGATCATGTTCTCCTATTATCAGTCTCAAAGCACAGATATTCATTTGAAATTGACAATTTGATTTCTCTCCGTGGCTCTGTCTTAAGTAAGATACATATTTCGTAGTGTTGTGAATAGCCTTTAATTGATTGCAAATATCTGCACTGGGCAACAGCAAATACACATTATCCTAACATGGATAGTGAGAGCAATCACCGAAAGTTCTCAAAAAAGCCATAAAATGCTTGAGACATTTCTTTCATATACTTGATTTTCAGAGCTACATTTTGTGGCATTCTCACCATATCGAAAAACGCGGCAGAAGAAGATTCAACACATATGTTCCCTGAACTTATGTTTTCAGGCGTAAAATATAATGGAAACAAGAAATAACTGCGACATACGTGTCACTTAGACGCGATTTTGCGCTCTCGCTGATTCTTGGATTGCGAAATGTCCCGTTTTGTGTCATCTCTTCCGTTGCTTCGACCCAAGGTTTAAAGAGAATATCCATTGCCATCCCGCTTTCGTCATCAGAGATATCAACATTTGTCGAGAAAGCTACTCAAAAGGCCGTTTAAAATCCAGGAAGAGCCATCAGCAGTCGAGCAGCCGAAGAAAACCAAAATGGCTTCCCGTTTCAAATAAAGTTACTCTTAAACAAATAAAGTTACTTTTTTTCCGCTAGTTATTCAGCTTGTGTGGTATATACTAAAACAATTATTCACCTCCACTTCGGTGAATAATCGTTAATTATGCGGCTAGCTCCGAGAACAGGCAAGATGAACGAAATCATCGCTGTGATTGGCTACTCGAGCGAGCAGGATGGTGAATTCTTTATTGACCAAGTTGCTTGGTCAAGATGGCTGGATATTGGCCTCGTTCTTTTTTCTTCCGAATTTATGGACCTCTACTCCGTCTCGGTCCATAAAAACACGCAATAATAAAACTTGGTCAATATCCAGCTATCTTGGCCTCACGCTTGGTCAATAACCCATATTTGTTTATAGCGGAGCTCCGGCGGCCCGAAGGGCCGTCAAGCGGAGCACTATACCTATAGAGAAAGTAAAGGAAACTCATGAAATGATTTTCTCATGGTTATCATAGCTAGCGGTATTGCTCGATGGCGGGTACGCACGACGACGACGACGACGCCGAAGTTGCGCAAGATGGCAGCCATATTCCAGCTCATATATAGGTTGACAGAGACATGCAGCCTCGGTTTATAGCCTACTTCTTTGATATTGGACATCCATGTTATGGTCAATTGACACCTGTCAAAACAAGGTATCAGCTGACCAGTATCACATGACCATATTGCGGGCTCATAGCGATCATGTGCTTTTTAAAGTTTACCGCTGACCAAATGCTGGTTTCCCGGTTTTTCGGTTGGATCGCGGGCTCATGTCAGGTTAACTTGTAAATAGTTATTCGGAACCCAGTTAACGTGACTCAAAACAGTAATATTTCCGTGAGAAGCCTGGGCTCTTAGGCGCACTTCCTCACGAGGCATCACGCGATCACCCGAGGGGTCGCGAGATAGCGCGCGAGATTTAAAGTTTGCAAAATTCACAACAAACAGGGCGGCGCGATGCCTACTTCGTAAAACTTTGTTTCCGCTAAGTTTAGTGAACTGTTTGCGATATCGCTTATTTTAACCTTCGAAAACATCCATCCTTCAGCCAATTTCAAAGGAAGAAACATTCTTTTAAGCCGCTGTGCTGGAACGTAAATGAAAATTGTGATGTTGATGTTACGATCGATCGCGCCGGCGTCGGCGCGCATAGATGCAGACTGCGCAGTGAAACCGGATGGGCAGAATTCGGTTATTTCAAAATGGTTGCTCCCAGAGCTCTTCGTTTTCCGACCGCTGGTCAAGGGGAACGATGACTCTGGGAACGAGATTGTATGTAGCCTGGCTAAATCTATATATTAAAACTGGTTCCACTCCTTTTGTTTAAGCTGGTTTCGGTTGATCTTGCCTGTTAGCGTAGTGGGAAAGGCATCCACAAATTCTATCTGGAAAGAAATAAAAAGGACAATATCAGTGTATGTTCTTCCATGTAAGGCATTTAATTGAGCTAGTCACGGTCAGGTCCTCGCTGGGCAAGTGTTTTACACGTACGTAAGCAAGTCTATCTCTAGATGGTAATGGTTTAACAGTTGATTGATAGTTCAAGTCTGAGCTTTTTTTTCTTAAAAGAAAGAACGCGAGCAAAATTTCAAATAATAAATATAACTAAATAACTTTATGTAAATGCCAAATCTATGTAGGAGCGCTTTGCCGATTGAAGACATTAACTAAATAAACAAATTTTGTAACTAAAACATAATTGACCTTCCTTGGGCTCATCCAGGCTCCTGTCTTCTTTGTCACGTAATCTTGTAGTTCCTTTATCATCTCATTTGGTTCTTTGTTCTTAAAATCACTGGACAACACGACAAATGCTTTCACTGACGCCTACAGAAACGGTCAGAAATGCGTGAAATTAGACCATGAATACTGCATTCCCAAAACAAGTTTTCTTTCTCAGACAACTTAACTTGACGGAATTCAAGTCGAGGAAGCGTGAAGCGCAAGATTGGAAACAGTACGTGTTTGCTTCTTGTGAATCAAATTAATTAGCTTGTTAGACTTTCAGCCTTGATTCCAGAATTAATTCTTCTTACGTATTAGTCTTAGCTCCATATCGTACTGGTAAAAAAATGTCAGAATCTGGCTTTAAAAGGCTTCTTGCAATGAATGCCTCTCAAACTGAAAGTTTATAATCTTTAACGTACTGTTAACGTTGAAGCGAATTTTCATCATTTTAACTTGAGCAGCGACTATTTCTGACCTGTCCAAGTGGGTCAGGACTGCTGACCACAGCACACGCCAAAACCGCTTGGTGTGAAATCAGACATTCTTCAACATCACAAGGATTTATGTTGACGCTGAAAGAGTATAATTTAATAATTTGATGAATAGATACATTGAAAAAAGTTAGTTCAAAGGCTAGTGTAGTCCAGTGAGTGTGACTGGTGAGAGGCACGTCACGTGATCAGATGATCACGGGCACATTCTTGTTGTCGCACTTCGCATGCTTGCCTTGGAAAGGTCTCGCATTCTAAATGCCAGCCGCGAAAATAACCTCCAGAGTGTTATGGCGCTTCTTCTCCAAGATGAGTTTTTTTTGGCAGGCGATACAAATCTTTTTGTTCAAGTCATGTTTCATCCCTGTAAAGCTCTGACAAAGTGTAATCGGCAGTACTCGAATGTCAGATTATAAACAATCTAAAACAAGATGTTGCAGCAGCAAAACACTTAGATGTGCAATGCAAGTTGCTTCCTAGATGAAGTCTCTACCAATTTAACATGGTCCGTATTGGAAGTAGATAAGTAAATGGATAAGTTATTGGTGGCTTTTAAAGTTAAACTATAAAGAACAAAGTTTTTAAATTTAAAAAATGTTCATATTTACTCCTTACGCTCCATGTCGGTATATTTGCAGGAAATAGCCTCGTACTATTAGTTGATCAGTACTTTTTTTTTCTTACCCGTTAACAAATATGATGTCATCGGTTCGTCCTACAATCCAGAAGTAACCGTCTTCGTCTTTATAGCCAAGATCACCTGACCATTTATGCAACACATAGGAACACTTAAAAAGGCTGGCTTTCATTGGCGAATACGCATTGGGTAATATAGCAGTAAGGTGCTGTTGGTTAAGTAGCATTTTTTGTTAGAAAAACTTGAAAATCTCCTATCAAAAAGAGCTGATCATCAAAATCTTACTGATTCTGCGTACGACGTTTATACTTATGCGCTAGAATGGATTACTTCGTAAAATGATGCTCACTTGCATACTGCCCATAACCAGTATGGAAAACTGACGATATGAAAAGACTGTTGACTGTTGAACTAGAATTGCAAGTTGTTTCGAGCAATTCTCAGATAATACACACCTTCGTCGGATAGAAGGTTATGACCAGAATTTGAATTCAAATCATGGTGAGATCATACAATGTTCAAATTAACTGAATATTGACCAAATATTGCGTATTTTACAGACGAACTTCAGCCCTAAAGATGAACAGAAATTAACTCGCCAACCTGTGATGTACAAGTCTCCTGAAAAACGAGCTGCTGTTTTGTCGGGATCATCCTGTCGATATAAAATGGCACTTCGTAATGAATCATGCCATCAAGAAAAAGCCATATGGTGAAAAAAGGAAACACACATGCATGCTTTAGGTAATACCGTTTGGCTCAGTTGTAAGGTTTAACTCACCACATAACGACTAAACAATCCCGCAGGACGATAAGGTTTCACACGGACTGCAATCTTTCCTATTTTACCTGGAGACAGTTCTTGGTAGTTATCATCAATAACCTGGAAAAAATGGAATAGATTACAACACGTGCGAAATTTATGGGATTACACTTGCATGCACAACTGAAACCGAATTAATTCAAGCTCATTTTAAAGTAGTGTGCAATTTTAATTTGTCGCTTTAACGCTATTTTTTTTTTTTCTTAGAGCGTGAGCAGGTGAAACATGGCGAATCCTACAAACCGATTGGCTCTTAAAAATTCTGGAACTACCGATTTCACCTGTAGTCAAAGGAACGGGCCGACTTCCTAGCGCGAAAACATTTTTTGGCAACGTGCAAATACGCCACAGAGTGTACTCAAGACGTACACAGGGTTTCTCTTAACAGACCTCCAGGCAGACAAGCAACAACACTACTGATGGAGTAATACACAACTGACTGAGTATGCAATGGCATATTTCAGGCGGATGAACAAATACCGTGAAGTCTGAGGTACAAACCACTTCAATGTTGCAACAATTTGGGTTAGTTTCTGACTAATGTTTGAGCAATAGTGAACAACTTTTTAAATGGAGAAGAAGTATTTAACACAATTGACCTGGCCGGGATTAGTTGGAAAGAAGGATAACGCAATCCACCGGATAAATCACTATCCAGTAGATAGCGTGGTTTGTTTTGCTAACACTTATCCACTGGATAGCGATTTATCCGGTGGATAACCGGTGGGGTACTTCCAGAAAAGTTGGGTGGGGGTGTGCGGCCCACTTCCCAAAACCCTTACCCCATTTATGGCCAAAATCTGCAATTTTTTGCTACCCTAT